AGAAAGATCAGAGAAAGAACAAAGTGAAAGTTGTATTTAAAACCTTCTCATCCTGGGGGGCGCCTGGGTGGCTCAGTAGATGAAACATCCGATTTCGGCTCGGGTCATGGTCTTGCATTTTGTGGGTTCAAGTCCTACAACGGGCTCTCTGCTGTCAGCACGAAGTCCACTTCAGATCCTCTGTCCCCCTCTCTCTCTGCCCCTCCCCTGCTCAAGCACACACTCTTTCTCTCTCTCAAAAATACACATTAAAAAAAACCAAACCTCATTCTGTAGAAAAGCTTTAGCAAAGATTATAAAAGTCAAATACATTAAGTACATATCAACTCTCAATATATAATTCAGCAGGCCTCAACATAATCATAAGTAAATTTTTGTTTTCTCATTCCTAGTTAAAATCTCGTATTGTGGATAAATCAAGACTTATCCCTTTTACATTTAAAGACTTACTGCATCTAAGAGCTGAATTTAGCACTAGTCTGGGTCCTCCAAAAAGCACACACCAAGAGCAGATTAACATGTAAGGATTTTACTTGAGGAAACACCTATTTGAAAGGAAATAGAGAGACAGAATGGCTGGGAGAGGCATCTAATCCTGAGTGAAGTAAGAGGGAGAGAAGGTTGGGAGAAGCATCCTGGAATGTTGTGCACCCTAAGGAAGGTTTGGCAAAGCTGGTCAGGGAGTCCTTGAGCCAAAGTCAGCCTATAGAAGAGATGTCTCCCAGGACAACTGCCTTAGTATCCTGCTGCATCCAGTCAGTGGTGGGGAGCACCCTGTGGGAGGTATGCTGTACCTAAGCACCGTGATAAATTTCAGAGTGCAGCAGCTGGGGTCTTTGGTGAATTTTGTTCCTTGTAAAAAGAGGTCTGCAAAGGCATGTTCTCGTGACTGCCACATTGGCCATCACCTGAATAATGCACACAGCTAGAGCTATTCAAACACCTAGCAAGCAGCAGAAAGGGGCTGTCCATTTGTAAGCACACAAAGCATTTCCCCTGAGGGAAATGTACAAAACTAAGAAAGCATGTGTGCACTGAAATTCCCCATGGTTAATTCCAATACCCATCTCCTCTTTCTCTTTATTGCTCTAAATATTTCCTTTGACCATTCCTTAGGAATCCTTGCTTTTACTTCTGGGTGCTTGGGCTGTCATGCATGAGGGCTTGGGAGACAAGTGGGAGACTGTGCAGCATGCGCACTGAAAGAAGTCTCTGGGTTCTCCGTTGCCCTGCAAACTAATATAAATGCTGATGCTAATTAACGCTGCTACTTTCTGCTAGTGCCTGGGAGTGTTTTTCACAGGGCTCTGAGCAGTTGAATATCAACAATTTCTGGACTTACTTTGTGTAACTTAGTTGGAAAATTTCAGGTGCAACAAATCCTAGGGTGATGACCAAGGAAATAAAATAGCAGAATCAAATCCAGGGGATATGAAAGAGAAGTAAGTTAGCAGGCCCTGGTGAGGGACTCCGTACAAAGGTGAAAAAAACGTGAAAATGACTCACATTTTTACCTGAAGTATTAGAAAATGGTTGTGGACTAAATTGTTGCAGACAGCTCATTTCAAATCTTCATTAAGTACCTATGCATCTCAACCAAAGAAAGCACTCTTTGACACCAGTCTCGAAAAAGGTGAGAGAGGAGACTTATTTGTCAGAAGTGGTAGAGAAAAAGGAAAGGATACATGGGCATCAGTCACCTCCCCACCTCCCCAACCTGATTTCCCTCCCCTAGATCGAAAGCAGTTTCAGGAACTGGGTTGTCTCTCTCAAGACAGATATGCCTGGTGAGAGACAGGACGCTAATGGCCCATTTCAGACCATGATTTAGTCATTGTAGACCTGTTTTCAGGTGCTGGGCTTGTTCTTAGCTGGGAAGTTGGCTTGGCTACAAAAGAATCCACTTAAGGAGCACATTGTATGCCACAGCAGCACCCACCTCCTGAGTAGAGACACCAATGTTAGTTACCCTGTTGCGTTCCACAGGTCACCTCCCAGTAACACCTACCCATTATGGCAAGGTCTGATTTTCACTGGTGCCCTCAGAAGGGAGAGGAGCTTTCTTTCAACGGCTCAAGTTCTTTCTCTTAACCTAGAATGGGGAAAAATACAAATAGTAGAAATAAAAACATATTGGCTGGCTAGATTGTACTTAACTCGGACAAATCACCACCAGTTATAATATACAGCATGTTTTAGGAGGGAGGTGAGAGTGAAGGCAGTGAGACCAGCTGATTTTCCCACAAATTATTTCATGTTTGGTTTGAGGATCGAGTAAATAATAATACAAATACATGTAATGACGTCTTACTGCATCCAAAGTGGACAAAATTGCTGTCATGCCCTGATGCTTGAAATTACAGCATTTTACATTTTAGAGAAAACTGCCTTGTTTTTATCATTTTCCACTTTTGTTTGCAAATAAAAGTCTGCAGCTGTTCTTTGTAAGCGTGTCTTTGTATTTGACTGGGAGGTGGGAGGGAGGAAAGGTCCCAACTTCTGATTTAAAATTTTTTTTTTCAACGTTTATTTATTTTTGGGACAGAGAGAGACAGAGCATGAACGGGGGAGGGGCAGAGAGAGAGGGAGACACAGAATCGGAAACAGGCTCCAGGCTCTGAGCCATCAGCCCAGAGCCTGACGCGGGGCTCGAACTCACGGCCCGCGAGATCGTGACCTGGCTGAAGTCGGACGCTTAACCGACTGCGCCACCCAGGCGCCCCCAACTTCTGATTTTAAAACAGAAAATCCCACATCCTGGGGAACTCCTCAGCACTGGTCATGCTGTCAGGGCCTCTTTCTGAATGTAGATGGGTGTAACACGAACTGCATTGCAGGTCTGAGATGAGATTATTGGTGATGTAAGCACCTGAACCTGCGTTAACAGTGGCCACTAGACACAGGTGGCTACTGAGCACTTAAAACGTGGCTTACCCGGGAATGAGGAACTGAATTTTAAGCTTTATTTCATTTTAATTGAATTTTACATTTAAAAATTGATAGTTGTTTTTGGAAAATCATTTTTGAAATAACTTGAGCATGTGAATCTACTTTTTCAGTTGTAAATTTAATGAACGTTAAATACAGATTAGGTATTTGCGATGAAAATTTGCCTTCCAAGTAGACATTTACACCATGAGCAAGCCACACCTCGCATCTTGAACTTAGTTCGGAAAAAAAAAGGTAAAATGTCTTGAATTTCGTATGAGTATTTTGAAGAGACTGCATTCAATAAAACACATTAAAATAAATTTCAGCAGTTTCTTTGTACTTTTTCAAAAAGCGGCTGCTGTAAAATTTTAAATTACAAGGGGTTCATTTTATTTCTAGTGGACAGCAATGACCTAGACGGCCTGGCAAATAGGAAAAGCCCCCCAAACGGCGGCTTTTACTATCATGAGCGTAAGAATTTGGAACGAGAATCTGATTCCTTTGTGAAGATTAGCAGTGTTTAACACCTAACGTTGGGAGTTACTCATCCCGATTACATTGTATCGTATCCGTATCTGGTTTCGTAAACCCTTCACGATCTTTTTTTTTTTTTTTCTTGGCAACATGGAGGACTAGAAAAGAACAGTTCTGATGAAGACTAAAGGAATGGCGGGAGTAGTGGCAATGTAAGGGGAGGTTTTAGACTTGTCACTTCGGGTCTGGCGCCAGCCGTCCCGTTTCTGGATTAGCCAAACCAGTGCGTGCCCCATGGCGGCTCCCAACACCTGCGACTGACCTCGCCGTGCAAACCTGCGGCCTTTCCCGGAAGCTTTTCAGCTTCTCCCCAAAGGAGAAACGCCTGGAGTCCGCGAGGCTCCGGCGCCTCCCGGACCCTGCGCTCCGGGAGCCGAGGCCGGGAGAGGACACTCGCGGAGGCGGACACGCCGCGACGGGGCCCCGGGGCGACGCGGCCCGGCGCCTGCCTGCAGGCCAGGCAGGGACAGCAGCTGCCGGACGGTGAGCCACCGCGGAAGGCGGCCGCACTCGGAGCCCGAGACGCCAGGCGCGCGGCGGGCACACAGCGGGCAGGCGCGCCGAGGCCGGAGGCGAGTTCCACGCCCCTTTCGAATCCCCGAGCGGGGCTGATGACGAACACAGGGCGCGACGGCGCACACACCGCCCCGCGCTCGCACGACGGTGCGTGCAGGGAGCGCGAGGGAGCCCCGGGCCGTCACCGGCGCGACCAGCGTTCCGCCTCCTCCGCTCCCTGCGCTCCCGCCACCTCGGCAACTCGGCGCCCGCCTCCCGCCTCCGTCCGCGGCCTCCGCCGCAGCGAGGCTCCCGGCCTCGCTCCTGTCTCTTTAAATGGTGGGGCCAACGGGCCGCCCCTGCAGCTGCTGCCTGGGTGGCCCCGCGCGCCGCTATTGAGGGGCGAACCAAGATGGCGGCGGCTTTGGCTTCGTGAGGAAGACGGAAGAGGCGGTGGCAGCGGCGAAGGGAGAGGGACTTCCAGGAGCCAGGAGCGCTCGTGCGCTTGGGGCCTCTCGCAGTCTCCCGCGCAGTGGTAGCAGTTGTAACAGGAGCAGGCAACCCTCGGCTGGGGACATCTGAAGCAGGGGAGCGGAGCGGAGCCACTGGCTGCGGTGGCAGGGCCAGGTATAAGGAAGGAAAACATGGCGGCGGCGGCCTGAGGAGGCGGCGGCGGCGCGGGAAGCGGCTTCGCGGAGATCATGGCGGAGGCGGGAGCAGGGCAGTGACCGGCGCCTCGAGTTCCTATCGCATCGGGGCGGGAGGCTGCGAAGCGCTGCGCGCCCCTGTCGGGGCGGCCGGGCTCGCCGGGCCTGGACAATAGCGCCGAGGAGTCGGAGGCGAGGAAAGGCCGGGGCCCAGAGCTCGGGCCCGGGAGCGGGCCATGCGGGCGGCCCCGCGGCCCCGCAGCGGCCAGCGGCGGCAGTGAGGCTCGGGCGTCCTCCGCTTGCGGGCGTCCTCCTGCCTTGGCTCCCGCCTGTCCCGGCCCCCCTTCCTGGGCGACGCCAGCGGGGCCTCTGCCCCGGCCCCCGGGCGGCACGATGACCGACACCCGGCGGCGGGTGAAGGTTTACACGCTCAACGAGGACCGGCAGTGGGACGACCGGGGCACCGGGCATGTTTCGTCGGGCTACGTGGAGCGGCTGAAGGGCATGTCCCTGCTTGTCAGGGCCGAGAGCGATGGTAAGTGAAGCCCTTTGCGGCGGGACCCTTGCTTCCCCTCCCTCACCCCACCCCGGCCCTGGGCCACCTCCCTGGTTGGTTGGGGCTAATGCGAGAACGGAGGGGGCGACTGGGGCTGGGGGCGGCTGCCGCCCTCGGGGAGGACGGGCCACCAGCACCCCAGTCCTCCCGGAGCTAGCTGCACGGGGAGCGCTCGAAATGTCTTTTTCCTCCCAGCGCTTGGTAGCACTTGCGGGGACGAGGGGAGCCCAGCATGCTTGAACTGTGCTGCCTGGGCGTGTGGAGAGGTCGGGGGCCTAAGATCGGGAGCCCGGACTGTTCTTTTGCACTAGAGTGACCTTGAGAAAGGCACTGATTAATCCGATCTTCTGCCTTAGTTCACTCATCTGTAAAGCAGGCGTGAAACTTTCTCGGAGCGAAGAAAGTTCTTAGGTGTTTCAGTCTTTGGAGAACGTTTTGCTGTGCCCTTTTTTTTTTTTTTTTAAACTTTTCCTGCTACAGTTTTTTGATCGTGTTGCACGTTGGCAACACTGGTTCATGAATCTGGCAACTCTGCATTCGGCAGAGAAAATGCTGCTTTGCCGTGAGAAGATCGATTTGTGTTCCCCCAGTGTTGTCTTTTCCACAAATACAGATTTTTGTGTATTGTTTGTGTAAACTTCTTGTAAGCTTGGAATAATTTTATACGAGCTGTTTTTGTTTTTGATTGCTTAAATGTATATTCATTATTTGGTTCAATTAACAGGTGGGGAGAAATTGGCCAGTAACTTTAAAACCTTTTGAATCTGCCTTAGTGCCTGTGCTTCACATGTTTTGAAATAGCCCTCCAGGTCCCAGTTGTTTGAAAATAAGTGTTTCACCTTTTTCAAGACTTACTTTATTTAGGGATTGCCACTTCTCTCTGTGGCATAGCTTGGGTTTCACTTAAAATGTTCACGTCAGGTGAAAGTGTTTTCAAATTGTTTCTCCCGAATTTGAAAACTTGTTACATTAGTCTATAATTTCACTCTAGCTATTTATTAGGATTGTAGTTGTTCTGTATCAGAATTATTACAAACGCGTTTCAAGGAATTTTAATTGGACTTTCAACCCTGAACTCCCCATGCCATGAAAAACAAACAAGACTCACCCTTCTGTAATTGAACACTCAAGGGACATCGATTTTCAATTTGATTTGAAAAATTGTAATTTGGAGTTATATTGGCCACAGGTTATCTTTATAAGGCTACCCAGAATAGCCTAATTGGAGAGATTATTTCCTTTGGGAGGGATTTAAAGGATTTTGAATACATTGGGCATATTTTTCTGAGGCCTCTTATTTGCCTCTTAAAAATACAAGTTTGAATGTGTTAGCATGCTTTTGTGTGACTATCACATAGTCACCACTACTCAAACATCTCCTCCTTTGCATGTTTGGAAAACTTTTTACATAATGAGTTGAATGAATGGGCTTTGTAGGTTCAGTTAACTTCCAAATGAAACTGTGGGTAGATTTGAGGTCAATTCTTTGAAATCTCATAACTTAAAATAACATGTTTAACATTCACATCATGTATTTAATTGGACTCATTATGCAGAGTGTTTTGTTTAAAGTATTAAGTGTTTTTTTTTTTTTTTAATTTTTTTTCAACGTTTATTTATTTTTGGGACAGAGAGAGACAGAGCATGAATGGGGGAGGGGCAGAGAGAGAGGGAGACACAGAATCAGAAACAGGCTCCAGGCTCTGAGCCATCAGCCCAGAGCCTGACGCGGGGCTCAAACTCACGGACTGCGAGATCTTGACCTGGCTGAAGTCGGACGCTTAACCGACTGCGCCACCCAGGCGCCCCTTAAGTGTTATGTTTTAATGTCCTAATCCTAGGGAATCCTCCTGTTCTAATGTACTGATGTAGGGATCTGGTTGTTTCCCATTTTTATTTTTACCTCTTTGGAAATAGCCCCTAAACTCCCTTCCTCCCTTTGGAAAGCTTGGAACTCTGCAATAAAACAGGTTGAATGGCAAAAACAAAATGGTTTTAATTTTTATCCATTAGTTTTATTTATTTTTATTTATTGATAGAGAAAAAGCTGAACTAAATATAACTGATGTGCCTTTGTTAAATTTAAGATAAAGGAAAACTAAATCCAAAGAGTGGGTTTAGAAAATTCCAGCACACTTATGGAATAATGTCGTAAATAATCTCTAGTTTGGGGGCACCTGGGTGGTTCAGTCAGTTAAGCATCCCACTCTTGATTTCGGCTCAGGTCATGATGTCACAGTTTGTGGGATCGAGCCTTGCACCAGGCTTTGCACTGATAGTGCTGAGCCTGTTTGGGATTCTCTGTCTCCCTCTCTGCCCTCCCCAACTTGCACGTGCTCTATCTCAAAAATAAATAAATATTTAAAAAAAAAATTTAAATAATCCCTAGTTTGGTTAATGTTTTTTCTAATAGGAAAACTCCAAATAGGATTCAGAGTAAAAATTTATTGAGTACCTGCTATGTGCCAGAGACTGTTTACTTGTGTCATCTGGTGTAGGTACTATTATTAGCTATATTTTGCAGATGGGGAAACTGAGGCTCAGACAGCTAGCCTGTGGCTTGAGACTGTTATTATTTAATTATCATTAACTGTTTATAGTGTGTTTTAAATTCCCATTATTGCTGTCTACTTGCATTTGCTGCTTTATACTTACAGACTCAAAGCTTATTTCAAAGAACATAAAAAAAATTTTTAGCCTAAAGATATTTAAAACTATAGTTTATCTTCACGCCAGATGGAAGTTTTTATATGGACTGCTAATTTGGGTCATCCATTATTGTGTGCTTCTCCCATTCTCCATTATAGGATAATTGAGAATCTCTGTATTTATTGTGGTGAACAAAATGGAAAGTATTTCTGATTTTCCATAAAATGAGCCTTTTATCTTGTTAGAGGCCTTTATACACTACACCGAAAATCAGGAAGGCCACTTCTGAATGGAAGTACTTGTGGCCTCTCTGTTGACAGGGTGCATCTTTGTGTGTAAGTATGTGCCTTTCCCCTCTGAACTGAGTGGCTTGGCAAATCTGTAGGCCACCTTGCCTTGGAGGAAGGGATGTCCTGCAAGCTATCGAGCCCATTTTTTTAGGGGTTCCTTATTCGTTAGTTCATACTGGTAAAATACTTTGTACGAACACAACCCTTTCTTTAATGAAGATAGATTACTTCATTTCTCAGGTACCTGCAAAATTCCATCTAACAATAAAAATTACTTGGTATTGTGTTTTTTTTTCTTCTTTCAACTTCTGCTGTACCTGTTAAGTTGCTTGAAGTGAAGGTTAATAATGTCATCCCTTACCTTGCCCTCTCAGTTTATTATTTCAGATCATTCTAACGTCTTATTGTGGCTTTTACCACTTCCATCTTCCAATTTTAGAATTGATAAAAGAATTTGGAATTTCTCCACACAGTGAAGGATGTCTTTTTTACATAAAATCATATCCATGTTCTTTTTTTCTGGATTACTTGCCAAGCATCAAGAATAGTGTTCTTACATTTGGTTTTTACCTTAAGTTATATTAAGTAATTTTTACATCTCAAAATAGTTTCCCCTATTGTCTGACTTACCTATTTCAGAGTTTAGAAGGTTAAATTTTCAGTATTACTTGGGGCATGAAGAAAATGAGACGGGGAAGTGTTTTTGTCGAGGCAGAACTGCTACTGTGGCGAAAACTAGAATCCTGTACGTCTGCCTCTTGTAGAACGTGGTAGTAGGTAGTGGCTCACCCCCACTATAATTAGAAAAGGAGGTCAGAACACTTTAGGTGGAAAGCCTGTTTTGTTTTGTTTGGGCTGTTGTGGTGATTTGAACAGAGATAGTAACAGCATTTTTTTTTTCTCTCATAAATTAGTAAGTAGTATAGAATCTTGTGTACAGTTGGCATTCCAGATTTAGCTGCTAAGGAGAGCTCGGTATCAGTAGTGGGAGAAAGATTTCACTTTGAAAAGTCCATTTAAAGCCCCCTGTTTTTTTTTTTTTATGTAGACCTACTTTTGTAGAAAATCAGTAGGCCTAGGGTGAGCAAACCCTTATTTATCATCTGTTGTGGGTGGTAACTTCGACAGTTTGAAGTCCATCAGCTAGGTCGGGTATAGGTGATCGGGCTGGAGTGTAGTGAAAGTTTGACATAGGCGTGGAACCTCTTAATGTAATGCCACTATTTTTTCCCCCAGGCTTCATTTCAGTTTTTAAACGTCGTGTGTAACTTGAGCCACAAAATCAGGAGAGAGGGACTTGGAACACAGAATTGCTATAGGTTTAAAGTGTATGCTGCTGTCCTGTCTAGATGATATTTTGGACTTGAAATAACTCATTTTTGATGGTGTTTTATTTGCTCTAATGAAGCACAGTATTTAAGCTCCTGCCCTTAGTTTTGAGCATTAAGGACAGTATACCAGAGATGAGTAGATGTTAAACTGCTTACCGTGGAGTGACAGCTGGACCTGTTCATTCTGAAATCTTGAATTTATCCAAATCTAAACTGTTTCTTTTCTTTTCTTTTTTAAAATTTTTTTAATGTTTATTTATTTTTGAGAGAGACAGAGACAGAATGCGAGGTGGTTAGGGGCAGAGAGAGGGAGACACAGAATCCGAAGCAGGCTCCAGGCTCTGAGCTGTCAGCACAGAGCCCGACGCGGGGCTCGAACTCACGAGCTGTGAGATCATGACCTGAGCCAAAGTTGGACGCTCAACCGACTGAGCCACCCAGGCGCCCCTAAACTGTTTAACAACCTGAACTTGATTCGTTGGTTGATACTGAAAATAGAACCATAAAAGTTATAGAAACTGTAACATCTCATTTCTCCAGTGAAAGGAAATGCTATCTTCTAATCAAGTGAACTTTCTAGCTAAATAACACTGTATCAGAAGATTAAAAATCTTAACAGTTTTCTTGGAGTGTTTTCTAAGTATTATTTGCTACAGTATTTTTCTTAAGCAATGTAAACCTGTTGATTAATCTTTCATTGTAATATGTT